TCTATTTCTACTCTTCCTTCAACAATATTGACTTCATCCACTTTTTCCAGTAAAGTTCTAGCTAATTCTGCTGATAGATTTGGTATAGATACCACTTCACGATATCTGTTGATTAATCCACCAGCTATTTTAAAAAAATCATTTAGATGAACGGCGTGATGTAACGAAATTGTTCCTTTGAAAAATTTGAACAATGATTTCAACTATCCATTTCGTGCTTCTACTATCCATCTGGACATCTTGATGATTCTTGAATTATTAGCTTCTGCAGTTGAAAACTGTTTCTGATTGCGTCTCAAAACTGGTGGAATATAACTACCTATACATATTTCCTTCAACATACCTACCGAATCGCGGTACCCTCTATCCATTGTTAAAATATTTTCTCTTTCAAACTAATTTGTCATTCTTTTCAGATCTCCCTCTAGTGCATATCTCAAGATGGAAGCATCATTATTTTTCGAATCTGAAAAATATTGACCATTCATAGCTAGTATGTACCCGTCTGGAGCAACCAAAATCTCTGGTTTAACCAAATGTTCACCTTTATGGTAGCAGTAAGACTGCCTCAGTATCCTAAAATTACTAGATTTTTCAATTTTGTTATAGGCACAGTCAATACACGCGATTGCTTTAAGTAGTTGTGGATTAGAATTGTACAATCAATCGGTAAATTCTGTTAAGTGATGTAATATATGTAATCTTGCCTCTTTATAGATGAAAATCCAATATTGTTAGAAAAAAATCGTTGCATAAGGAACATTCTCACATTGGAAATAATAAAACTGATATTTTGCCTAGATGAGTAATTGAAAATAATTTTTAAGAACTCGAAATTGCTCTTTTGTTAATGAAGTTAGGGTTTCAAAATCTACATCACTGATTTCACCAATGTTCTCAGAATTTCCATAGTTTTGGGAATTTCTTGAAACCATATCACGAAGTTTTTCCATAAACACCTGCATTTCTGGACCTCTCCCAGTATACGGTCTATTCACATATTGCAGACCATCTTGCAACAATGAAAAAATGTTATCATTTTCATCTAAATGATGTTGACATATTCTTGGATAATTCGGAATTAATATATTTTTTCTCAAAAAAACATGAACTCTAAACTGTAGCGACACTCTCTGAATATTCTGTTCAGCATTACAAATGCATCATGTGTAGCTTGAAGTTCGAGTGCAAACATTGAGACGAAGACAATGTGGATTCTCTTCTAGCTGTCTTACTTCATCATTAACTGATATCGAACAGTTCAAACAAATCCTAGTAGCATTATCAATATCGATATGAGGTCTCCCTGCGGCATCTCGCCTCGTGCAATGAATTTCACGTATTGCTGCATTTTCCTCTCCACGAATAAGAAGTATGTCTGGCGCTACTTTTTTCTCACAAATGAAACAGTTAATGGTATGTATGACAGGCATCGTATTCAAATTAGCAAACTATGCCAGGTTATGAATAGAAAACGGTACATACAAATTTTCTGTAATTCTTACTCAAATTCACAAATCACATGCACTATGGAATGTAAAATATAAAAGAATATGACAGTCAAAATTTAGGTGTACAGGGCGAAATGTAACAAAAATATTTCAAAATCCTATAAATAGATATAAGTTATTTGAATCACTTTGTTGATCATTTCTGATTTTGGTTTCTGTCCATGTTCACCTGATTCAAGTGAAAATTTTGTTAAAATGTAAAAAACGAATCATTGCGAAACTATATTATATATCGCAACGAAAATTGTGAATCGCTCTGTATAAAATGATAAATCTAATATTTTCGGTGTATTGTGGCCTCAACTAGAAACAGTTGAATGAGTTATTGTGATTTTTTAACAATGAGCATGAAAGCGTCAAAAATAATAACGATTCATCCTGTATATTATTCTGTATATATGGAAGTTTGGTCTGAGATCAGAACTATAGACTCCATTTAGTTTGTTTCAATTCCACCGATAATTATGTGTGATATTGGTCTGAAAGTGACATTTTCCAGCTTTGACACCTTGTATTTCGAAAACTATACATAGAATTTTTTTGTGCCTATGGTGACTTTTGATCGAGCGTGCTACCTAAGCTAGCAATTACATAATGTCGTATGTCTTTCAAGCAATGTATATTTAGACACTCGTCTCAGATCTATTTATAGAAAGTGGGGACGTATTAGTCAATTTTGTGGCATTCAAAAAGACAATTTCCTCCAACTAATAACTTTCCTTTTTGATAATACATATTTTTCATTTGATGGTAAAATTTATAAAAAAACTTTTGGTACGCCAAAGGGAGCTAATATGCAGCATATTTTAGCAGCATATGTCATGGATGACCTGCTAGATTTGGTCTTACAGGTACTTCCCTTCAATCTTTTTTTTTTATAAAAAATATGTCGATGACATTATAATATCCTTTCTTCAAGATGGAATATCTGAGAGTGTGCACATCTTTAATAGTTATAACCCTTATATACAGTTCACCATCGAAACTGAGAACAACGAACAATGGGTTCATTTCTTTGACACTAAAGTTATCAAAACACCAGATAACACTATACTCATAGATTGCTATCGTAATCCTATCAGTTCTGGTAAGTCCTTGAACTATTGGTCATACCATAAGCAGTCAACGAAAATTAATTTTGTCAAACAAATGAAGAACCGCATTCTGCAGACTTCCTATCCTTCTTTTCATAATAAAAATTTAAATATACTTTTCCAATTATTTATTAACAACTCCTACCCGGATCCTCTACTTAAGAAGATCTTATTTAGTACGTCTACCATTGACGTTCAAATTTACAATAAACAGTTGGATATAAATCCTTTAGAGTCTTTAAATGTCACAATAGCTTTCAGAACCATATTCACCATTAATAAATTATTATTACTCCAATCAACTTTCAATATATATATA